AGTACTTTTACTTGAGTAGATTTTTGACTGAGTAACTTTTACTTGTAGTGGAGTAGATTTGACCATGAGTATCAATACTTTTACTCAAGTACTAGAGTTGAGTACTTTGTCCACCACTGGTTAAGCTTCCAGAGTTCTGGCAGCAGAGCCCTGGTTCCAGCATGTGGAGGCCCAGTTTCATCTCCGTGGGATCACGACAGACGACACCAAGTATTTTCAATTCATCGCAGCACTGGATTCAGGTTCCACTCGCCGGCTGATGGGACTGCTGTGGGACCCGCAGAGTGCTAACAAATATAGCACGCTGAAAGAAAGCCTGCTGCGGCTCTATCAACTTTCAGATGCTGAGCGAGCAGATCGCCTGTTGTCTCTAGATGGTTTAGGGGATCGTAAGCCCTCTGAGCTGATGGAAAACATGCTGGCATTATTGGGCTCTGGCGATATGTCGTTCCTCTTCACACATCTTTTCCTGCGCCAGCTTCCTTCCACCTGTTCGCACTGCATTGGCCAGCTCCCCGCTGGTCCAGACCAGGGACTACCGCGCAGCTGTGTCGACAGCTGGCATTTTGAGTGAGAGTCATGGACCTCTGCTGGATGCTGCTAATGGGACTCCCATTCGCACCTTTGGATCAAGGTTGGTGACTGTCTCTTTCAATGGACATCAGTTTGGTTGGGACTTCGTCGTAGCTGCTGTTTCGCTCCCTATTCTGGGTGCTGATTTTCTGTGTGCTTTTAGGTTATTGGTAAATATTGCTGATAGCTGTTTAATCAATGCTGTATCTTTTGATTCCTACCCCTGTAAACTGGGAGGTTCTGGACATCAACCTCTTGCTAACATGCTGGCCACAGGTGACGAGTTTCAGCGTCTATTAGCTGAGTTTCCCACTCTCACGATTCCCACTTTTTCAGCTACGGTAGCTAAACATGGAGTGGAACACCATATTACTACAGTGGGTCCGCCGGTTTTTGCTTGGGTCCGCCGTCTGGATGCTACCACGTTGGGAATAGCTAAAGGGGAGTTTGCTAAAATGGAGAGCCTTGRCATTGTGCGTCACTCTAAAAGTCCGTGGGCATCTCCTTTGCACATGGTTCCCAAGGCAGATGGGAGCTGGCCGCCTTGTGGGGATTTCCGACGCCTTATGTGACCTGTAACGACAGGTACCCAATCCCTCACATTCAGGACTTTTCTGTCCATCTGGCTGGGGCAACCATTTTTTCAAAGGTAGATCTGATGCGGGGATATCCTCAAGTCCCTGTCCATCCGTCGGACATACCCAAAACCACTGTTATAACTCCTTTCGGGCTTTTTGAGTTTTTGCGGATGCGTTTTGGCCTTACAGGCGCAACCCAGACCTTCCAGTGTCTGATGGATTCAGTCCTGCAGGGCATGCCTTTTTTGTTTGTCTATTTAGACGACATACTGGTGGCAAGCCAGTCATGGGCAGAACACAGAATACATCTCCGCCAGTTGTTTGTTCGACTCAGTCAGCACGGTCTCATCATCAACCCTGCTAAATGCCAGTTTGGACGGTCAGCGATTGAGTTTCTGGGACACAAGCTGTCACCACAAGGGGCGGTTCCCCTACCGGCCAAAGTTGAAGCAGTTTCTGTTTTTCCCCGTCCTCCATCAGTGAAGCCCCTGCAGGAGTTCTTGGGGATGGTGAACTTTTATAACCGCTTCATCCCTCGGGCTGCTCAACTTATGCGCCCCCTGTATGAGGCCCTTAGAGGCAAGAAAGGAGATCAGCTGAAAGGGTGGACCCCAGAGAAGGCCCAGGCATTTGAGGATGCCAAGAAGGCCCTGGCTGATGCTGCACTGTTGGCCCACATATCTCCAACAGCTTCAGTAGTCCTCACTACCGATGCATCTGACTATGCAGTTGGAGCAGTGTGTGAACAGTGGGTAGATAGGGCCTGGCAACCCCTTGCCTTTTTTAGCAGGAAAATTCGGGATGCCGAAAAAAGGTATAGCACTTTTGATCGGGAACTGCTCGCCCTTTTCCTTGCAACACGCCATTTCCGGTTCCTGCTGGAGGGCAGGAATTTTACTGCTTTTGTGGACCACAAGCCACTTACCTTTGCCATGGCAAATGTTTCAGAACCATGGTCAGCAAGGCAACAACAGCACCTTTTGGCAATTTCAGAGTTCACTACCAACATTCAACATGTGGCCGGTAAGAACAATCTGGTGGCTGACTGTTTGTCCAGGGGAGAGGTTGGTGCTGTGCATTTGGGCATAGATTCCGTTACTATGTCAGAGGACCAACTTGCAGACCCGGGGATTCTGGCTTTTAAGACAGCTGGGTCCAGTTTGCGTTTGGAGGATGTCTCCTTTCATGACTGTGGGGCGACTCTGCTTTGCGATGTCTCCACTGGCAGGCCTTGGCCTTTGGTTCCCACTTGCTGGCGTCGACGGGATTTTGACACAGTTCATTCCCTTTCACACCCGGGAGTCAAGGCTTCAGTTAAGCTTGTGGGTGCTAAGTTTGTGTGGCCGGGCCTTCGGAAAGATGTTAGATCTTGGGCAGCTTCCTGTGTGTCTTGTCAGCGTGCTAAGGTCCAACGGCACACCAACGCCCCCCTGGAGCGATTTCCTATTCCCCAGGGAAAGTTTGAGCATGTCCATGTGGACCTAGTGGGTCCGCTTCCCTCATCTCGTGGGTTCACCCATCTCTTGATGATAGTGGACAGGACATCTTGTTGGCCAGAGGCAGTTCCTCTGTCATCAACCACATCAGCTGATGTGGCACGGGCGTTCATTTCCTCCTGGGTGTCTCGTTTTGGGGTACAGTTGGACCTGACATCGGAC